CATGGGGGACACGGGGGTGGGGGGGACACAACAGGTGGCATGAGGTGGCACAAGGTGACAGGAGGTGGCGCAAGGTGACAGGAGGTGGCACAAGGTGACAGGAGGTGGCCATGGGGGACACGGGGGTGGGGGGGACACAACAGGTGGCATGAGGTGGCACAAGGTGACAGGAGGTGGCGCAAGGTGACAGGAGGTGGCACAAGGTGACAGGAGGTGGCAGCAGGTGGCAGGAGGTGGCAGCAGGTGGCAGGAGGTGACAGGAGGTGACAGGAGGTGACACAAGTGACACGGCAGGTGCCAGCAGGTGATTTGAGGTGACAGGAGGTGACACACAGGTGCCAGAGGTGACACACAGGTGACACAGAGGTGACACAGGTGACAAAAGTGACACACAGGTGACACAGGAGGTGACAGAGGTGACACAGTACATGGCACAGAGGTAACACAGGTGACACAGGTAACAGAGGAGGTGACACAGGAGGTGGCACAGGTGCCATGAGATGACAGCAGGTGACACAGGTGACACAACAGGTGACACAGGTGACACAGTACATGGCACACAGGTAACAGAGATGACACAGGAGGTGACAGAGGTGACACTCAGGTGACACACAGGTGACACAGGTGACACAGAGGTGACACACAGGTGACACAGAGGTGACACAGGTGACAAAAGTGACACACAGGTGACACAGGAGGTGACACACAGGTAACAGAGTTGACACAGGAGGTGACAGAGATGACACAGAGGTGACACACAGGTGACACAGAGGTGACACAGGTGACAAAAGTGACACACAGGTGACACAGGAGGTGACACACAGGTAACAGAGTTGACACAGGAGGTGACAGAGATGACACAGAGGTGACACACAGGTGACAGAGGTGTCCCCGGGGCTCACCGCAGCGCAGGCGCAGCGTCACCTCCATCATGGCCGCGGTGGCACAGGTGACACAGGTGACACAGTAACACAGTGACACACAGGTGACACAGGAGGTGACACAGGTGACAGAGATGACACAGGAGGTGACATGGGTGACACAGAGGTGACACACAGGTGACACAGAGGTGACAGAGAGGTGACAGAGATGACACAGGTGACGCACAGATGACACACAGGTGACACAGAGGTGACACAGGAGGTGACACACAGGTGACAGAGTTGACACAGAGGTGACACACAGATAACACAGTGACACAGACAAAAAAACCCCATTGATCCCAAAATATTCCATTGATTCCCCCCAAAAACCCCCATTGATCCCAAAATATTCCATTGATTCCCAAAATATTCCATTGATTTCCCCCAAGAAACCCCATTGATCCCAAAATATTCCATTGATTCCCAAAATATTCCATTGATTCCCTAAATATTCCATTGATTCCCCCCAAAAGACCCCACTGATCCCCAAAAAAAACCCCCATTGGTCCCCAAAAAATTCCATTGATTCCCAAAAAATCTCATTGATTCCAAAAAAACCCATTGATCCCAAAAATTCCATTGATTCGCGAAAAATCCCATTGATTCCCCCACAAAAAAACCCCATTGATCCCCAAAAAAACCCCATTAATAAAAAAAAAAATTCTATTGATTCCCCCCAAAAAAACCCAATTCCCCCCAAAAAAACCCAATCGATCCCAATAAAATTCCATTGATTCCCCCCAAAAAAACCCCATTGATCCCAAAAACACCCCATTGATTCCCCCCAAAAAATTCCACTAAACCCAAAAAAATTTCCATTGATCCCAAAAAATTCCGTTGATCCCAAAAAAAAAAACATTGATCCCAAAAAAATCCCATTGATTCCCTCCCCAAAAAACCCCACTGATCCCAAAAAAACCCCATTGATCCCCAAAAAATTCCATTGATTCCCCCCAAAAAACCTCATTGATCCCAAAAAATTCCATTGATCCCAAAAAACCCCACTGATCCCAAAAAAACCCCATTGATCCCAAAAAAACCCCACTGATCCCCAAAAAAACCCCCATTGATCCCAAAAAATTCCATTGATTCCCCCCCAAAAACCCATTGACTCTAAAAAAATCCTATTAATCCCAAAAAATCCCATTAAACCCAAAAAAAATCCATTGATCCCCAAAAAACCCCATTAATCCCAAAAAAAATCCATTGATCCCCAAAAAAATCCCATTGATTCCCTCCCCAAAAAACCCCACTGATCCCAAAAAACCTCCGACTGATCCCCAAAAATTCCATTGATTCCCCCCAAAAAACCCCACTGATTCTAAAAAAATCCCATTGATCCCAAAAAAATTTCCACTGATTCCCCCCCAAAAAAACCTATTGATCCCAAAAAATTCAATTGATCCCAAAAAATTCAATTGATCCCAAAAAAACCCCATTGATTCCCCCCAAAAAATTCCACTAAACCCAAAAAAATTTCCATTGATCCCAAAAAATTCCGTTGATCCCAAAAAAAAAAACATTGATCCCAAAAAAATCCCATTGATTCCCTCCCCAAAAAACCCCACTGATCCCAAAAAAACCCCATTGATCCCCAAAAAATTCCATTGATTCCCCCCAAAAAACCTCATTGATCCCAAAAAATTCCATTGATCCCAAAAAACCCCACTGATCCCAAAAAAACCCCATTGATCCCCAAAAAATTCCATTGATTCCCCCCAAAAAACCTCATTGATCCCAAAAAATTCCATTGACCCCAAAAAACCCCACTGATCCCAAAAAAACCCCATTGATCCCCAAAAAATTCCATTGATTCCCCCCAAAAAACCTCATTGATCCCAAAAAATTCCATTGATCCCAAAAAACCCCACTGATCCCAAAAAAACCCCATTGATCCCCAAAAAATTCCATTGATTCCCCCCAAAAAACCTCATTGATCCCAAAAAATTCCATTGACCCCAAAAAACCCCACTGATCCCAAAAAAACCCCATTGATCCCCAAAAAATTCCATTGATTCCCCCCAAAAAACCTCATTGATCCCAAAAAATTCCATTGATCCCAAAAAACCCCACTGATCCCAAAAAAACCCCATTGATCCCAAAAAAACCCCACTGATCCCCAAAAAAACCCCCATTGATCCCAAAAAATTCCATTGATTCCCCCCCAAAAACCCATTGACTCTAAAAAAATCCTATTAATCCCAAAAAATCCCATTAAACCCAAAAAAAATCCATTGATCCCCAAAAAACCCCATTAATCCCAAAAAAAATCCATTGATCCCCAAAAAAATCCCATTGATTCCCTCCCCAAAAAACCCCACTGATCCCAAAAAACCTCCGACTGATCCCCAAAAATTCCATTGATTCCCCCCAAAAAACCTCATTGATCCCAAAAAATTCCATTGATCCCAAAAAACCCCACTGATCCCAAAAAACCCAAATCCCCCCATAACCCCCCCAAAAAAACCTATTGATCCCAAAAAATTCAATTGATCCCAAAAAATTCAATTGATCCCAAAAAAACCCCATTGATTCCCCCCAAAAAATTCCACTAAAACCCAAAAAAACCCCATTGATCCCAAAAAAGGGTCTGGGGGGTTCTGCAGCGCAGCCCCCGCAGCTCGGCCGAGACCCCCGGGCCTGCGGGGAAACTGAGTCACGGGGCAGGTTCGGGGACGGGGACAGCAGTGACCCCAAAAGGGACAGGGACCTCAAACCCCGCCCACCATGGGGACAAGGACCTCAAAACCCACCCTGAATGGGAACAAGGACCCCAAGGTGTCCCCAGTGGTGACAATGACCTCAAACCCCTCCCACAATGGGGACAGGGACCTCAAACCCCGCCCACCATGGGGACAATGACCCCAAGGTGTCCCCAAAGGGGACAATGACCCCAAGGTGTCCCCAGTGAGGACAATGACCTGAAACCCCACCCCTCATGGTGACAACGGACCCCAAGTGTCCCTCAATGGGGACAATGACCTCAAACCCCACCCCCATGGGGACAATGACCTGAAATCCCACCCACCATGGTGACAATGACCCCAAGTGTCCCTCAATGGGGACAATGACCTTGAGGTGTCCCCAAAAGGGACAGTGATCTCATACCCCCCTCCTCCATGGTGACAATGACCTCAAACCCCACCCCTCATGGGGACAGGGACCCCAAGGTGTCCCCAAAGGGGACAATGAACCCAACGTGTCCCCCAATGGGGACAATGACCTCAAACCCCGCCCACCATGGGGACAATGACCCCAAGGTGTCCCCAAAGGGGACAATGACCCCAAGGTGTCCCCAGTGAGGACAATGACCTCAGATCCCATTTCTCATGGTGACAATGACCTCGAGGTGTCCCCAAAGGGGACAATGAAACCAAAGTGCCCCCCAAAGGGGACAGGGACCTCAAACCCCACCCCCATGGGGACAAGGACCTCAAAACCCATCCCCAATGGTGACAATGACCCCAAGTGTCCCTCAATGGGGACAATGACCTTGAGGTGTCCCCAAAAGGGACAGTGATCTCATACCCCCCTCCTCCATGGTGACAATGACCTCAAAACCCCGCCCACCATGGGGACAGGGACCCCAAGGTGTCCCCAAAGGGGACAATGAACCCAACGTGTCCCCCAATGGGGACAATGACCTCAAACCCCACCCCTCATGGGGACAGGGACACCAGAGTGTCCCCAGTGGGGACAACGACCTCAAACCCCAACCCCCATGGGGACAATGACCCCGAGGTGTCCCCAAAGGGGACAATGAAACCAAAGTGTCCCCAGTGGGGACAATGACCTCAAATCACCCCCAATGGGGACAAGGACCCCAAGGTGTCCTCAGTGGTGACAATGACCTCAAGGTGTCCCCACTGGGGACAACAACGACCTCAAACCCCAACCCCCATGGGGACAATGACCCCAAAATGTCCCCAAAGGGGACAATGACCTCAAACCCCAACCCCCATGGTGACAATGGCCCCGAGGTGTCCCCTCCAGGTCCCCTGTCCCCCTCACCGTCGATGCTGAAGCCGGTGGCCGCCTCCAGCTGCCGCCGTCCCCTCCCGGCCGTGGCCACCTGCAGGGCCACCAGCACCGAGGTGGCCCCGTAGGGCGCGAAGACCACGTTGGTGTCACCGCGGGCCGCCAGCGCCGCCCGGAACAGCCGCAGCCCAAAATCTGTCACCAGCTGGGCCACCTGGGCCGGTTCCGGTGTCCCTGAGCCCGCCAGGGCCACCAGGGCCACCAGGGCCACCAGGGCCACCTGGGTCACCCGCATCCTGGGGGGACATGGGGACAATGGGGTTAGTGGGGACACTGGGGACTCTGGGGACAATGGGGACACTGGGGACTCTGGGGACAATGGGGACACTGGGGACACTGGGGACACTGGGGACACTGGGGACACTGGGGACACTGGGGACATTGGGAACAATGGGGACACTGGGGACACTGGGGCTACCCCCTCCTAGGGGACACCGAGGTGACACTTGGGGTGGCACCAGGGTGGGTCCAGTGCTGGTGTCACCCCTAGTCCCAGTCCCAGTCCCAGTTCCATCCCAGTCCCAGTTCCATGCCAGTCCCAGTCACAGTTTCAGTCCCAATCCCAGTCCCAGTCCTGATCCTAATCCCAGTTTCCAGTCCCGTCCCAGTCCCGTCCCAGTCCCGTCCCATCCCATCCCCGTCCCATCCCATCCCATCCCTCCCCATCCCCATCCCATCCCAGTCCCGTCCCAGTCCCATCCCAGTCCCAGTCCCGGTCCCGCTGCCCCCTCACCTCTCTCTGGTCTCGGTCCCGGTTCTGCTGTCCCGGAATCAGCTCCGGTTCTGGTCCCAGTATCCCGGTACCGGTCCCAGTCCTAGTCCCGGTGTCCCAATCCTGATCCCGGTCCTGTTGTCCCGGTTCTGATCCCGGTCCTAGTGTCTCGGTTCCGATCCTGATGCCGGTTCTGATCCCAGTCCCGGTCCCAATGTCCCGGTCCTGGTCTCACTCCCGATGTTCCGTTCCTGATGTCCCGATCCCGTTCCCAATGTCCTGTTCCCGTTCCCGCTGTCCCGTTCCTGATGTCCCGATACCGGTTCCGGTCCTGTTCCCGTTCCCGCTGTCCCGTTCCTGGTCTCGCTGTCCCGGTTCTGATGCCGTTCCCGCTATCCCGGTCCCGTTCCTGCTCTCCCGTTCCCGCTGTTCCGTTCCTGTTCCCGTTCCCGCTGTCCCGGCTCTGATGCCGGTCCCGCTGTCCCTTTCCTGCTGTCCCGGTTCTGATCCCGGTCCCGTTCCCGGTCCCGCTGTCCCGGTTCTGATCCCGGTCCCGTTCCCGGTCCCGCTGTCCCGGTTCTGATCCCGGTCCCGTTCCCGGTCCCGCTGTCCCGGTCCCGCTGTCCCGGTTCTGATCCCGGTCCCGTTCCCGGTCCCGCTGTCCCGGTCTCGGTCCCGTTCCTGCTGTCCCGGTTCTGATCCCGCTGTCCCGGTCCCGCTGTCCCGGTTCTGATCCCGGTCCCGTTCCCGGTCCCGCTGTCCCGGTCTCGGTCCCGTTCC